GAAGGAGACTCCACAACCTCCCTGGGCAATCTGTCCCAGGGCTCTGTCACTCTTACAGTAAAAAAATTTTTTCGGATATTCACCTTGAACTTCCTATGCTCCAATTTGCACCCATTACCCCTTGTCCTATCACTGGTCATCACTGAGAAAAGCCTGACTCCATCTCCCTGACACTCACCCCTTACATATTTGTAAACATTGATGAGGTCACCCCTCAGTCTCCTTTTCTCCAAGCTAAAGAGACCCAGCTCCCTCAGCCTTTCCTAAGATCATCTAGTCCAACCCCCCCTGCCAGAGCAGGGTCACCTACAGTACATCACACAGCAACTTAAGAAACTTAAGAGAAACTTAATCCTTCCCCAGAAACTCCCTGAGAGGTTGCAGCCCCTGGGCTGAAGTTCCTGCCGTGGGTCCCCAGCACGGGACTGCCCCGCAGCGCTGGCTGCCCGCTCTGTTCTCCACAGCGGGTACCTCCAGTGGGTGGGGATTCAGAGGCAGAAGCCCACGGTTCTGCCACTCAGAGGTTGCTGGAGTGGGCAGTCAGTGCTGCTCAGGGCAAGCTTTCCCCATCAGTCCTTCTCCTGTGGCAGCACTTCTGTGAGATCACCTGGCTGGAGTCTTCTGCATCATCCACAGGCAGCTCCAGATCCACTTCCAGCCCTACCATCACAGTGCCCAGCAAGGAGGTGGCCTTGGGCTTTGCTGAGGGAATTACATCACCTGCCAGGGATTGAATCAATCAGCCCTAGTTAGTTTCCTGTTCAAAGAAGATGAGTTACCAATCTATTGAGTAAATACATGGTTTCTTTATCTGACACACAGAGCTGGGTGCCTCCAAAAAGGGACTCCAAACAAAAAAATCCCCACCCTTCACACAACAGTTCTGATCAGTAGTAATATTAGGTTCTGGGGTCTTCCCATTCTTCACTTGGGTCCCTTCACTGTCTCTAGGTGGGCGGTTTCCTCTCTAAGGTTGCTGCATCATCAGATGATGGTAGCAGCTTTCCTTGCTTCCTTATTTTCCAGCTCAAACCAGCTCTGGGGCCTTCTTTTTCTTAACTAGGTAAAAGTTCAGCATACCTGGGTGAAAGTTTACAGCTTGCAGCCAAGGGCTTCAGCAAATTTATCTACTAGTGCTCTTGCTCAGCACAGCCCCTTTACTGCTTACTGGGTGGCTGGAGAACACCCTGGAGCTGCTCAGAGTTGGTTGGTGAAGGCTGCTTGGTCACCTGCAGAGATTTCAGCCCTGCTTCCTCTCTGAAAATGACCCAGAAGGGGCTCTGGTGCACTGAGCTTTTTCTCTGTCACAGGACAAATGTGCCATTTTTTCCTCTTTGAAGAACTTACAGCTGCAATTCCTCTCTGCAGGCCAGCACTGACCAGGCAGCCTCCCCTCACATGTGTCTGGTTATTGTCAGAATGCAGTTAAGCCAAAGGGTAATTGCATTTCCTGCTTGAGACTGTAATGTCATCACTGCCAGTGCCACAGCAAAGGCTCCTCGTACAGCAAGGAGGAGCCCTGTTTCATTTGAGACATCAACTTCTGATCTCCACTGGTTGGAAGTTCCCAGACAGGTCATACCACTGACCTCATCTGCAACCTGTGTCCCTGCTTCCTCCAGACACAGGCCACAGAGGGGGAACATCTGTGTGCACCACAACCAGCTCAGTGCACCTGAGGGGGTGGCCTAGAGCAGCAGTTGCTCCTTACAAAACCACACTGCCTCATGGCAGAGCCCTGGCATCCTGACCATGACCAACCCCTGGTGCTGACAGTGGAGCTCTCCTCAGAACTGTCCCAGGCTGCATCTCTTATAGGTGTGAGCAGGGACTACCAGATTCCAAGGAGGTGCCATGGGAATTCACAAGCCAGTCGCCGGCTGTTGCCGGGCTGGCTCCCCTACCCTGCCCATCCCACTGTGATGGTGGCCAGCACCTGGCTGACCCCCACCATTCCCCAAAGCCCCCTCATAACCCTTCTTCCCACCCCACAGCAGCTGCCAAAGGTGTTTGTGGGGCCACCTGGCTCTTCCACCATAGAGGGAGCACTCACAGTGCTGGAGATGGGTTGATGCAGGCTCTGACACGCTGGCAGTGATGACAATGCTGCCAACACTGTGGAGAAGTGTGCTGCCCAGCAGGCATTGCCCTGTGCCTGCTCCACAGCCCGCTGGGCACTCCAGGCCTTTGTGTGTTGGCTGTTGTTCCAGAAGGTCCCTACTCCATGACAGGCATGAGGCAGGAGCCAGTGTCACCCTGCTCATTGCCATTCCTGGGAAACATCTGCCGTGGTGTTGGGCAGGTGCCAGGGAGGGGGAGAGCCACCCATGGTGGGAAGATGGCTCTGGCCTGTGACACACCTTGGGATCATGGGAAGGCAGCAGCTCAACCAGTAGTGAACATCTCACCAGAGGCACCTACAGAACTCCTGGGAGTGAGCAAGGAGGGCTTGCTCAAGACAGCCATGGAAAGCAGGGTGGTAGCACCCAGCCATGGCAGCAGGAGCGTCATGGGAAGGAGATGAAGGGAACTGGAGGGTCAAAGCCCAGACCCGAGTCAGGTTGAGCAAGTGCTGCCTCCTACAAGCCACCAGTCCCCACTGATTGTGAAATGGATACTGGGGCCTGGAGCAGGGTCTCCTCCCCCAGCCCTTATCTTTACTGCTTCCTCCTCCTCCAGGACTGTGCCCGGGCAGCAACAGCTTATGCAAAACGAAGCTGAGAAGCTCTGGAGCTAATTAATTACTAGCTGCCTGTAATGCTGACTGAGCCCTCAGGGACTCCAAGGCTGGAGTAGAGGAGAAAGTGCAGAGAGATACTGGAAAATTACTGTGGAGTTCTTCAGCATTACATGTGATTATATGGCAACTGGTAGAGGAGGGAGAGGAAGAGGCTGATAATGAGCCAGACACAACAGCTCTGCAGGCCTTCTCCTCCCTGGCAGCAGAGGCAGTGAGGGCCCTGGGTGGCTGGATCCGGCCCTGGGGAGAGTTCAGTGTCCGGATGGATGCTGGTGCTGCCCATGCCTGGTCCTCAGCCATCAGTATTCCT